AAAATAAGAAGGAAAAGAAGAAAAAAGAACATAATACATCATTTGTAACCTCTTCTGAAGAACATTCAGCTGATGAAAAACTTAAAGATAAGAAAGAAAAGGAAAAGCATTTAGAGCCTTTAGAAATTAAACAGGAAATTCTAAGTAGTGGTGAGAAAAAGAAGAAGAAGAAGAAGAAGAAGAAAGAACTCAATTTTGATTCGGAAGATAAGGAGATTATTCCTTCTAAAAAATTCAAGAAAAAAAAACATGATTTTGATATACACAAGAAAAGTAGTGACAATTTAGAACTCTCAACCGACTTATTTGAAAATAAGAAGGAAAAGAAGAAAAAAGAACATAATACATCATTTGTAACCTCTTCTGAACAACATTCAACTGATGAAAAACGTAAAGATAAGAAGAAAAAGGAAAAACGGTATGATGAGCCTTTAGAGATTAAACAGGAAATTCTAAGTAGTGGTGAGAAAAAGAAAGAACTCGAATTTGGTTTGGAAGGTGAGGAGATTACTCCATCTAAAAAATTCAAGAAAAAAAAACATGACTTTGATAAACACAAGAAAAGTAGTGACAAATCAGAACTCTCAACCGACTTATTTGAAAATAAGAAGGAAAAGAAGAAAAAAGAACATAATACATCATTTGTAATATCTTCTGAAGAACATTCAGCTGATGAAAAACTTAAAGATAAGAAGAAAAAGGAAAAACGATATGATGAGCCTTTAGAAGAGGGTACAAAAGATCACAAGAAAAAACTTAAGAAGAAAAAAGAAGTTTATGATGTAGAGATGGAGGAAACGGATAAAGTCCCTACTGATAAAATTACCAAAGAGTGTTTTACTGAAGGTTATGAAGAAGAAGAGCCTAAAAAGAAAAAGAAGAAAAAACGACATCGCGTTGATAGTGAAATGTTAACTGATTATTCTATAATTAATGAAAATTTAAACGATACGGAAATTTTTACACCTGAAAAAGTTAAACATAAAAAGAGAAAGCATTCAAGTAATGAAACTAGTGACATTAATACAGAAACTGAAGTTCACAAGAAGAAGAAGAAACACAAACATGACAAAAAACATAAATATCACGAACTACCAATTGAAATTTGTCAAACTAAAAGTGATTCTTTGGAAGATGCAAAGAAATTTGATCAGAAATCAGAGACGCTTTCGGAGGAAATTTCTGAAACAACTGCGCTCTTTCAAAAATCGCATAAAAAATTTAAAAATTCCGAATTTGATGTTTCTGATAGCGCTGTTAAAAATTCAGAAGATGAAGATCCCAAACCCAAAAAAGCGAAACCTCAATTACCTGCTGAAGATGTGAACACTGAAAACACATCTTTAGATAATTTACTGCTGAATGATTCTAAAGATTTGGAAAAATTGGTTAAGCTCTCTGAAAAGAAAAAAGTTACGTCTGAGTCGAGAAATTTTGAAGAAATTTGTAATGGATTAGAAAATTTTCGGGAATCGCATGAAAGTCTTAAAAATAATTCATCTGATTCCGCATTTGAAGTTTCTGATAGTGTATTTGAAAATAAAAAATCTAAACACCAAAGGGAGAAATCCAACCTTGACGCTAAAATACAAACACTTATTTCAGAAAACAATTTTAAAACTGATGACTCTGAAGAAAAATCTGTAACAAGTGGGTTGTCTTTACAAAGCCGTGAATCTGTTTTCTGCACTCCAGATTTCTATTTTGAGGATATTTTGGAAAAGGATAAAAATGAATTGAGCTACGAAGAACGTCAGGTTAGTTAATTTTCCTTTGAAAAATGTTATTAATGCTATTATTATTACAGAGACTGAAAAATTTCAATGTGCTTTTGCCATGGCCAGCTCATCCGCTACACTGTATAGAAACTCGGGTAGCTAAAGGCCCATCCGACAAGCAGTGGAAGGAAATTAACGCCTTGAAAATCAAAATAAAACGCGGAATTTTTAATAAATCAGAAGACGAGATTATTAGGAGAAATTGGGAAGAGTTTTGTAAAGTAAGTTGATGCGTGACCCCGATGTGTTTACTTATTTCTGTCCGTTTTTTGTAGCTCCACGACATGCCCTTAAACCCAAAATACTTTTTACGTTGTAAAACTTCAGAAGGGAAAGTTCTTATGCCAATAAAAGAAAAAGTAAGATTTGTTCAATTTTTAGCACACGATCTACCGAATCGTTTATTACACACTGTCTACATGAGGTTTCAGAGAATATTTTTCCCAAAAGAGCTCAAAACTGGAAGGTATTAATGAAAAAATCTACATGAAAAATATTTTACATTTTTGCTAGGTTTACGCCAGAAGAAGATAATATTATTTTGCAATATTTAAAGACATCCAGATCGCAAACACCATACGCGGATTTAGCGAAAATTTTAAATCGGGACAACTTCTCGATTGAGAAAAGACACAGAAAATTAAAATATACCCTTGAAGGCAATTTTAGGGTCAAATGGAATTCCGAACAGATAGCAAATTTTATGCAACATTTGCTTGATGTTACAAAAGTCGAGAGTGTCGAACAATTGGAACATAGGAATATCACTTCTGAGGAGTGGAAGGAAATGTCTACAAGGTTAAACATACCAACTATAAGGTTGCGACCTGCATGGCTTATTAAAATACACCCTCGCATTTTTATCAATCACACTGTTAGTTCGAACGATATTAAGCAGCTTTTAGTTGACGTGTTAGTATTGTTTAAAAGCAAATATTTTTTGACCATTAAATCTTTTTAGATTGATTGAAAAGGGGAAAAGTGATTGGAGAGACGTTAATTGGCAAGAAATTGCTGAAGAATTTGACGGTTTCACTGGCCTAGCGTTGAATAAAATGATGAGGGATATTGTTCAAACTCATATTCCTGTAAATAAACGAAGTGATTTAGGAGGTGCGTATCTTGATAGGTTTTAACTTTATAATAATATGCCAACTTTTAGAATGTTTAAAGTGCTTGGCGAACCAAAGATATGCAATGGGGCGCAAAATACGAAAAATAGATATTATAGAAATAGACGTTAGAAATTAAATAAAGTTTAACATTTCTATTGAATAATTTTTTTCCCATCAGAAAATAAAAATTACAGATCTATCACATCGATATAAAATAATGCAATTTAAAACAATTTTTTGTAAAAATAAAATAGCTTAAATACATGTTCCGTTTATGGAGTCGTTGCGCTACCTAATGACATTATAACTAAGTCTCAAAATTTTAATTTCTTCGATTTTTGTTAGTCACTTTTAAATCTCTATTTGTATTATGTATCAAGTGTCCCCAAGTAACACAGTTGACCACTGGTGTTGCACAATGGGATATCCTTCCCTACACTTTTTCTCTTGATTTTCAACTTTTGCAAAACATAATTAATACAATTTCTGACTTTTGAAAAAACAAATCCCTCATTATTGTCGCGATGATTGAAGCAATTTCATCCACGACGGAAGATGCGTCAAATACACTATCACAATAAATATCCCCTGAGAAAGTCATGCAGAGACTGTTTAGTCTGCGAATTGGGTCGTTGCACATATTTTTTTTTATTGCATATTCTGAATCTTTATTAAAAATTAATTGAGCCATGTTTTTGTTTTTTTTTTTAAATCTTAATTTTAGTAGAAAAAAATATATCAAAAACTCGTAAAATGAAATATTCAAAACGCGCGCGTTTTATTTGCTGTGAGGTAGAGCTTGTTCCAAATCTGGTGGCGAACTGACGTCAAAAATGACTGACTACTAAAAATGACTTTTACTACTAAAAAAAATATTGTTCATAGGCATCGTACAGTTGGGGACACGGAATTTTGGGCAGTCTTTTCTTGTCATTTCAAAAAATGTCAATGTACAGGGTGCTGCATTTTGGATGTCCGAATAGGGAATCTCCGAAACTAAGAAGTTTAGCCAAAAACGAGTAATACATTCTGTGGCTCATTTTTTGAGAAAATAATATTGGTTAAAACCGCATCCCGTTATCGTCTTTTTGTTTTCGACTTATAGACTAAATGCATTATACTTTTTTACGTAGAATTTAATAATGTAGTTAACAATTTGTTTCAGTTGTTTGTTTAGCCGTAATAAAATAAACTTGTATTTTTTTGCTCTACACGACGATAATGATGAAAAAAATTATTTAGTTCAAAGTGTGTGGACTTTTTGAATTTTTTTTAGCGCATTTGATTTGTCTCACTACGACAAACAAAATGTTATAAAATTTGTCAAGTTGTCACGACATGACTTTTTTGTCCCCTGTGTATTCAGTCCCGTCCTCAGTAAATGTTGTACTTGTGGCACATTTTTATGTTCTAATGAGAAAAAGAATTGTTTTAATTATTTTCATTTGACTCATTAACCTCCTTAAAATCCTGATAGTACTAGAGAGTCCAAAAGTTTGGGAATCTTAATTGGTGGCTACAAAAATTTGAAAAAAATTCCAAGTCCTTAGAATATACATAAGAAAAGAGTAATATAAAAAAAATTAGAAAAAAATATTTTTACTACGGTTGGGCAACAAAGCGTTAACGTACAGGATGATTCAGTTTAAATTACCCACCTGACCCCTATTGGCAGATAACTCATAATACATTATACACTTCCTTGATTCAAAATTAAATTTTCAAAATATCGAGAATAAAAGAAAATGTGTCGACCATTTGACAAGTAAATATTTCAAAGCGTCAAATGAAACGTCAACGTAGACGACTTCTCAATGGTCTCAAAGTTTCAAAAATGTCGAGATATTCATTTACAAATAAAAAAAACTCACAATATCCAGAACGAGTACCTATGCATAAAATTTTTAAACGACTGGAAATGTGTTTGTGATACAATTGGCCTGCAATTAAGCTTAGAAGTATACGACCTGCTAGACTAGTTTAAAGAAGGACATTCTGGTGTTGGAGACTGTTGAACAAAATTGGCATATTGGGCAAAGGGTAATTGCAAGAGAAGTGGGAATAAGCCAATCTTCTGTTTCTAGAATTTTAAAAACTAATAAATTGCATCTCTATGACATGCAGTTAGTGCAAGAACTACGAGATGCTCACTTCCCTCGTAGATTAGATTTTTGTTATTTTGTTTAGGAAGAATTAGAAAATAATCCAAACTTTATTAATAATGTTGTGTTTAGTGATGTTTGATTTTGTAAATAGAATCGTGGCTTGTGAGCATATAGAGCATTGGCTATGAAATAATTAATTTTTGATTTACCTATTCCTTTTCTATAAAATAAAATTGCGTTTATTCGAAAAATTGCCACTGCCATTCATTGAAATGTATTGCTGCATGTGCGTGTGACAGTGGCACTTCCGATATTTTTCGAACAGCAAACTTTGATTCATGAAACTTTCAAAATTCGAATATGAATGAAGGAATAATTGTGTATTATGGGTTGTCTGCCAAGAGAGGTCAAGTGGGTCATTTAAGCTGAATCACCCTGTATACCTACTACTATAGGGGTGGGTAGATTCTAAAACTATTTATACAAAATTGAATTATTATTTATTTAATTTGTAACATTTTTCATAATTTTACACTTCTGGACTATTTAACGCCTAAAGAAGAAAGATATTCTTTTGCCTTACTTTTTATGTCTTCTACGGATTCGCGACTGCCGTACTGTTCTTCAAAACTAACGAATTTTTGAAAAAGCACTTTCATAGTTTTCAAGGCAAACTTTTGGCTAATAGCTCTTTCAAGAGTTTTCCTACAAAAAATAAGAAGAAAATCTCACATAATTCAACTCAAATTTATAATTTACCTTGCAGCATCAAACTTCTTTTTTCGTACCAACTGGTCCACATAAATAATCCAAATATTGACCTTACTTGGGTAAGTATCCAAAATGGTTTCGAAATTCGCAATAGCTTGATCTAACTCACCTAACTGAAATTCCATTATTCCGAACTTCACAATAAGATCAAATTCTATAAATACGACACAGTAAAATTATTTTAATATTAATAACATAACAAACGTAATATAGGTATACTCGTATTACTTACGTCTCTTTTTGTCTAAAATTGATTTTAATGCTGACTCCTTGACATTTCGAGCCTCTTTGAATTTTCCCAAAGAGTAATAAATTCGGCTTATTTCCAACCACATTTTAGTATTTTGTTTTTCCTTCGGCCTCACTTTCTTAATTTTTTCCTCCATTTCTAGTAACTTCCCAGATGTTGCAAGCATTTGTATAACATTCAAATATATTTCCAAAGAATCGTTATATCTTACTGCCTCTTCAAAAGTTTTATCAAATGATTCCTAAAACAATAAACAATTTATTTATTACACTGTGTTATAATTTTATTACTCACTTTTGTCCCGTACATATTTTCTAAATTAAGTAAAGCGATCCAGACATTATACTTTTCCTTAACTAGCGTCATATTTATTGTTTCCAATGCTCGTTTCCCTATAGCTCTAGCCTTATCCAGTTCAGTTGACTAAAAATAAAAGTTGAATGTACCGAAAACCGGAGAAAAAAAAAAGATTACCGCGATATGCATTGACATGTATTGCAACCATAATTTTGAAGAATTAGGATTGGCCAATAAGAGTCGATCAAATTGCTCTGCACTCTGTGGTGGGATCGTTGAATCAGCTAATTCATTTTCTATTTTGGAAATCCTTTCTTCTTCTTTCTTTGCTATTTCTGCTCTTTCTGCTGGAGTAAGTTTTACCTTTTTCTTAGTTTGGTCGACATCCTGTAATAACATATTGTTAACAAGTATTTCATCCCTCTTCTTTTTAAAAACCTCTTCTTCTTCCTCAGACGATTCGTCTTTCAAATTATTATCTTCTGGCAAATAAAAGGTCTGCGCACCCGATAAAACTGATTCTTTTTGTCTTTCTGCGTTGCTTGATTGATCAGCAGTAGTGCCATTTGATTCTGAAAATAAACAGCAAGTAAAATAACACTAAATAGACCTTGACTAAACACTGATTTTTTTGAGTTTTATATTTTGTTATTATGTAACTTAACAATTTTAGAAACGTACTTGTGTTAGAATTGTTATAACTATCATCTTCGCTTTCAGATATATTTTCTTCAAATTCTTCATTCTGCTTAATCATAATTTTTTGATTAGTGCTTTTAGAACTATCATCATCTTCGCATTCAGACATATTTTCTTCAGATTCTTCATTTTGCTCAATCATAATTTCTTGATGAGTGTTTTTAGAACTATCATCATCTTCGCATTCAGAAATATTTTCTTCAGATTCTTCATTCTGCTCAATCATAATTTCTTCAACAGCATCATCAGTCAATTCTTCCTGAGTTAAGCATTCCTCTTCATTTACGCTCTTTTTAGCACCTTTTTTCAAGTTCTGTCGTTTTTTTGCTTGTTCTTTAGTTACGTCTTTTTTTAAAGATAATGCCAGTTTTTTCAGCAGTCCTATGAGTTTATTTCCTGCTTTTCTAAAATAAAAAAGAATAAATTGTTGTAAAAGAAGTTGCAACATGATGCAAACCTATCGACAACAACTTTTATCTGTTCTCCACAAACGGCATTTTTAAAATGGGTTAAATAAACCAACTGCCTATTGAATTGACTATTTTTCAAAAGTGCCAATACGTAAAAGTTAGTAATCAACAATATTTTTGCTACAGAGGACGAACCAAAAGACTTCTTTATCACACCATCTATAATTACATATCAGAATAATATTATTAAAATATTTTTTATATACCTTGCACATTGTTGATTTTTTCTTTGAGAGTGTTGTTGGAACAAATATAAAGGTAATTATCGTCGAAATTATAATCCAAAACAACGCCCTCCACAACTGAACCAATCGTCTTGTTTGCTACAAATAAGACAGTTATTTTATTTATAAATCTTAAATGTTTACACGCTTACATGCGCTCAAATGAGTGAAAACTAAACCCTCAATACCGTTAGGTAAGACTACAATTTGATTCCCGTCGTTGTTTACTTTTTTTACCACACATTCCACTCGTTGACCGATCTTATATTCTGCAAGTTTTTCCTTTTGTTGGCAGCGAAGTTGTAAAACGTAATTCAAATCATCAAGAGTTGCGGTTAGTGCATGTAGTGAATCCTGCAAGCAGCTCAAATATTTAGAAACATAAATGTAACAAACATTAGAATCACTTACATTTAGACTTGGATTTTGCAGATTTTCATAATCAATGCACAATTCAATTTTTTTTATACCGGATTGCACATTCAAAATTTTTCCTATGATACACTGTTGTTTTTCAAATTGAAGCAAAGTTCCTTCCTTGTGGATTATGTTCTAAAATCAAATTCTTTTTATAAAAACCTCTAAGCAGGTGGAGTAACTTACATCATTGCCGACAAATATCTTTTCATAATAATCTCGTATGGGAGTAGAGACATAAATTCCCTCATGCGCATCTCCTTCAAAAGAACATCTTAAAAACATACCCTTTTTCAAGTCACGATATTTAGGAATTTTGTTTGAATGTTTGCTTAATTCGATGAATTCTCTTCTACTCATTACAGGTGTAATAGTACTATTTTTAATGCATAATATATTTTCTATCTCCTGTCCAACTTGATAAGTTTCTGAAAATAACAATTTTTGTGTTACAATTTAATCAATCGCTCAAAAAATTGTTTCAACATTCTTCTTTTATTACGAATGAAACACTTTTTAAATTAAATTCCGTTTGACTGCATTTGTAACCATGTACTTACTTAATAAAATAGGACACAAACTTAAGTTAGTGCTCAAATGTGCCAACGGGATAGTGGCTTCAATTTTGCGACAAGAAAGCTTCACGTCAAGACTATCGGAATGAATCTTTGTAACTAAACCATTTTCAGTTTGTCCTATTTTTATCTTATTTTCATTTTGCTTCTTTGGAGCATTCAGCGACAATTGTAGCTTATCATTCTTGATTCCCAAAATCCACACAGTAACCTGCAGTAGCAAGAATTAAAAAGAAATAAGTATGTAAATGTAAACCTAAATAAATATAAAAAAATCTAATTCAATTTTTTTTATTTATACACCTTATAACATTTTTAAACAAGGTTATTTTCTTTTTTAAAAAATTAAGTTTTTTTATGTTATTATATCTACCACTATACCTACATAGTGTAGTAAATTGATTTGTAATGAATGAATGATCCACACGCATTTAATAAAAAAACGGACTATACCATGCTTTAATTAAATTTCTAATCAGAGTGGCTTATGACTTTGAAATTAACTTGGCAATATAGAATAATGTAGAGAGAAAATAATCTGAGAACATGAAAAGATATTTTACATCTAGAAAACCATATACTTTACTGTTTTTGCTATTAAAGTTATAAAAAAAATTTCAAGCTCGACCAACTTTTATTTTATGTTTCCTGGACCCTCATATAAGTTCGAAAAACGCCATTTGAATTTTTCCCATTTTTTCAAAATAAAAGTGTACAAAATCGGTAAAAAAAACAACGTTAATCTAGCAAAACAGTATGAAATTTTGCGTTTTTAGGTCTTGTTTTTTTGAATTCATTAAAAAATAAGTGAAAAGTGAAATTTTTATATCTTGTCTTTACATTATTCATTGTTGCCAATCTAATTTTCAAAACACAAGACACTTTAATAAAAACATTAATTAAATGCATGGTAGGTATTTATTTTGTAGAAAAATTAATAATTTATTTAAAGCAAATTGCGAATAAAACCAATTTTCAAAAATTCACGTAAAAGTTTTACAAAATTTCATTTTAATTTTTGAGTTTTATTTTTTCTTACTCTTTTAATATCTACTGAAAAACTCGAGTAAAGTCCCTCGTTTCAAAAGTATGACTATTTAAACAAAATTGTTGTATACAGGGTGATTTTAACAGTTGTCCAGAAACTTTAAGAAATGTCAGTACAAGTTTAAAGAAGTCAAAAATACTCAACTTGCATTATCCAAAAGTTTATAATTTTTGAGATATAAAGGGTGCAACCTCTATTTTACGGCGTCCGAAAATTTGTCAAAAAAACATTAAAAAAATGAAACAATAAAATTTCGATTATCCATTAAAAACTACATAATAAATGTTTATTGCACTTTCCAAATTACATATTGTGTTTTAAAAAATATGAATTGTTTTATCAGAAATCAACCTGAATAAAAGTATTTCAACAAAATAATGGCTTGAATAAGAGTTTTCTTCCAAAATAAAGCAATTTTAGCTATTTTTAAACCAATTTTGGTCGGTTTGTAGTACAGAATTCATTCTAAATTAATGTATTTTATAAAACTTTCTCCCCACCCGCCTGTAATAAAGTCTCCGTAAACTTAAAAATAAATTTTGCTTCTTGTTATTTTAATAACTGATTCCATTTGTTTACTTTCTCCAGTATAAAGGTAGAAAAAATGTTGCTAATAAATCCAAGAAAAAGGAATATTTCAAACGCAATTATTATTGAACGCGAGAGTAATAATATTTCCAACAAGTTTGTTTGAAAAATGATTACTTTTATTGTTTTATACTTGCCACTTGTCCAATAAAAAAATATTCACGTGGATCCAAGTAATGTCCAGCACTTCCTGTGTTCAATACTTTATTGCTAATCCAACCCTTAATATCTCCATAAAATGCAACAAGCGCCCCGGATATTTTAGTTTGAATTACGAAACCCACATACTGAGAGAAAGGAGTAAGCTCTTCTACTGTCGCTAAGCACTTTTCTAATTCCACTAATCCTTGCTTTAAAGTGAGAATCACATTCCCATTCGTGATATTTAAAACTCTAAAAAAGAAAATTATTACATATACACTGTAATAAAAAATGAGAGTCTTTTAGTTTACCTAGCGTTTACGGTCATCCCTACTGAAAATTTCGCTTTGATATTGTCGGTGTACTTTACATTTGACAGCTGTAAATTTGGCACAAACCCTTGCACATGCCCAACTTTAACAATCAAGCCATTTCCAATAATTTTAGTAACTAGTGCAGTAACTACTTGACCTATTTTTATATCATTGATGGTAAATATTTTTTCCTTAATTACTTGCTTTTCAAATGTGCAAATATACAACTGTTGCATGGAATTGTAGTCTAATATACGACAATTGTGACGACTACCATTAGGATATTTTTTTCGTACAGCGCTAACAATATCTAAATCTGCACCTTTGGGCAAAGTATTTAAAAGACGTTTGTTCGAAACAAAACCTGTTACGTTTTTGTCCAATTGCAAATATAAGCCTTTGGGTACGTTGTACTGAATTTGGGCTGGCAAAATTTCACCGATGGTAAATTCTGGCCCGGGCAATTTCTCAAGACCTCGCAATGTCAAATATGTTACTTTTGTAACAGGTTCCACAAACAACACATATGCTGGTATAGATTTTCCTTCCTTGATTTTTTCCTTTTTAATAAGCGAAAATATGTAAGTTTCATCCACATAGCCATAGCAATTTTCGAAAAATTGTCCCTTAATTCCATGAGGCAGTACCTAAATTTTCACAAATTTAGCAGAAGAACTAATTTTGCAACATTTAATACGAAGAGTGAAGAAAAATGGCTCATTCACAAGTACGCATATGAGCTTCAATATTAATATTTTTAAACAATTGAAAAAAAAATAATATCTGTAATGTACAGGTACAAAACTTTCTTAGTAACATTTTGCGTTTTATTCTTTTTTTTTTGTAAGAAATTTTTGTGTCCTAATTTTCGGTCCGATCATAGCAATGACAAATAAACAATTATTTAACCAAAAAATATGGATAACATATTTTGAATTTTAAATAAGATTTTAAAGTTGTAAAAACAAGTAAGTATGTAAATAAAAAATGTTATGTACTTTTTTAGTAATAAAGCTCGTATAATTAAAATTTGGTCACTTATTTCAGCTTTCGTCTGTAAAGTATGACTTTCATAATACTTAGATCCAATTTCTGGTACAATTTAACTTCAGTTAAGTTTTATCGATTCAAGAATTACTAAGAGAGTATTGTTTAGTAGTAATTCTGGGCTGAAACAAACAATATTTAATATTTAATTGAAACTGGGCCTAAATCATAAGTATTCTATGCCGTTATAAATGAGGCATCATAAAAAAAAATGTGACTATAGCTACAAACGTATTGATTTATTATTACCTCTTCAACAAAGAAATCCACTTTCATCCCTGGGATTAAATCATTAATGCTTAAATCATCCTTCACTTGAGATTTATGAAGATGCTCATGTTTGGCGCTGACTGTCAATGTTGTTGCATTATCAGAAGTTATTACTTTGTGTATTACACAGTATAAAGGCTCGCCAGACACTAAAAACATAAACTGATACGTTACGTCTTGTATTTAATTTTATTATTATACAGGGTTATTCATAAATATGAAGCAATATTTGAACCTCAAAAATGACCTATAAAATGATGTTAATTTAAATAATAACTCGTGTCCTATCTCCACTGATAAGAATTTTACAGCCCTCAGAATGTGGGTATGGAAATTTGATTTTTTTGTAATAACTTTGGAACTATTTGACCAAATATTATAAAATTTGTAACATTTCCCTGTGACAACATACCTTTTAAACTGGTAATCACGAAAACCGGATACATCCACTCAATTTCCGGTTCCAGCAGTTGCAGGTCACATTTTCTGTGTTTTTCCATTTTTTTGCTCTCTTAACACCAATTTTTTATTGGCCAAATCGATAGAGTAATCAATTTCGATTAAAAAACGCATAACCTTTAATACCCCTAAAATAAACCGTTTCAAAGATATTTTAATTTAAACTGAGGACTGCACAACGCTGAAACCAAAAAGTAGGGATTTTGAATGGATGATATCCACGGTAACAAATGACCATGGTCTCACTAATCGCTGTCAGGCATCTGTCAACTTTGACATTGGACGATTATTAGACAATTAATCGAAAATAATAATATAATAATATAATAATAATATATAAATATAAATATAAATAATAATATAAATATATATATATAAATAATAATATATAATAATAAAAGAGTTTACCTCAGATTCCAAACATAACTTAGAATAAATCCAAATGGATTTCGTAGCATTTAATTCATAAAAAATTCACCAAAATTTATCGTCAAAGTTAACCGATGCCTGGCAGGGATTTATGTGACCATGGTCATTGGTTGCCACTTATTCAAAATCCCTATTTATTGATTTCAGCGTTGTGCGGTCCTCAGTTTAAATTAAAATAACTTTGAAACGGTCCATTTTAGGGGTATTAAAGGTTATGCGCTTTTTATTAGAAATTGATTACTCTATCGATTTGGACAATAAAAAATTGGTGTTAAGCGAGCAAAAAAATGGAAAAACACAGAAAATGTGACCTGCAACTGCTGGAACCGGAAAATGAGTGGATGTATCCGGTTTTCGTGATTACCAGTTCAAAGGGTATGTTGTCACAGGGAAATGTTCCAAATTTTATAATATTTGGTCAAATAGTTCTAAAGTTATTACAAAAAAATCAAATTTCCATACCCACAATCCGAGGGCTGTAAAATTCTTATCAGTGGAGATAGGACACGAGTTATTATTTAAATTAACATCATTTTAAAGGTCATTTTTGAGGTTCAAATATTGCTTCATATTTATGAATAACCCTGTATACTACTCCAAAAAATTAAAGAAATAAAAAAAATTCCTAAATTTTTTGGCGATTTTTGAAAGGCTGTAACTCATCGAAAAATGGTCGTATCTAGATTAGAAAAAAGCATTTTGAAACTTTAAGTTTCTAGTTTAAGAAATTATAAGATATTTATTACATAATTTAAAAAAAGGTGTGCTGTAATCTCAAAAGTTTAAACAATTAATTAAAATAAAAAATATTTTGGCATTGCTCCTTTACAACCTTTGAACATTTATTAATTTATTTCCAAAAAAACTGGTAGTTTACTCAAAAAAATTCTTTAATTCTTGTAAGTCAAACATTTTTTTTAACAAAAAAGTGTGAGGTTTACAAAAAACATTTTTGCATGGCAACAATTTTTGTAACAAGCTCGTTGTCTAAAAAAAAATTGTGGTAGGTTTCCATTTAAAAAAAACAATGATACTATGTTTATCTCGTAAGTATAAACAGATAATTAATATTCAATTTTTTTTTGAATAGCATTTTTATAGCCATTGCACACCTACAAATTTATTTGCCAAAAAATTTTATAGTTTCGCCAGAATAACATCGTTTCCAGACTTTTGGAACATGCATTTGCAACTTACCGTAACTTTGGGAGTCTTCAGTATTTTTAAAAGGTAGAAAGACTCTGCAGTTGTTTACGCCTAATGTTAATTCGTATCCATGATCAAGTTCAGTCACAATATTGGCCCATATTAATGCTCCTTTTTTAAAAGACGTATGCGTTCTTCCCGCATTTACATCCCTTGGATTTATGCTTGCTTGAATATTGTGTCCCTTTTCTGTTTTACTAACAGATAATATTTTTGTTGGTACTAACTGCCCCACAGAAATTATATCTTTCACAGCGTTGGTACATGACTAGAAACAAAAACTTACTGTTAGGTAATGATAAAGGAAGATATTAGTTTGTTTATGGCATATTTTTTAAGTCAGACTGACTCGAAAATTGCAAAAACAATTTTGCTACGGTATGTCTGAACGCAGTAAAAATACCAAAAATGTTTTTTTTTTAAATACAAAATTTTTTTATTTAATCATAACAAATAAAAATAAAATATGCTATTTACTTCATAAAAACTCATAAATAATCACACTAAAAGATCTGCTACCGTTGTGTTTTGTGCAATATTAAAAATTGGCAGACATTCTTCTAATAAAATTTAATTAATTAAAAAAATAAAATGGCTGCATACAAGCTATAAAATGTTTATAATTTTGTTGTTTGAGGGTACTACTAACTTAAAAATGTAATTAATAATGCAGTTGCTCAATTTTACAGTCATCTCTTACGATATCAGTGAAGTCTTAATTAACGGTCAAACTGCTTTTTAGATTTTATTACAAAACTACGCGTTTAATCAATAGTTTACCATTAGTAATTAAGAAAAAATGTGTCCCAAAAAACTTTTTTTTATGATACTAAACTATTTTTTTCAGTTGTTTGTTTAGCCGTAATAAAATAAACTTGTGTATTGTATGTATATGGGAATCATAGATGGCTATGTCATTTTTAAAAAGCTTGTCTTTTTCTTATCTAAAAAATATATATTTGTAACAAATTATTATAATACATTTTTAGCAAAAAAATTATCTTCGATTTTTGTTCGCAGTTGGCCATGAAAAAATGTTGCATCTTGAACTAAAAGGATTTAAACTATATTATTCAACCAGTGTCACTAATGAAAGAGTTTTCTAAGTACTAAATAATGAAAAAAATGCAAAATAAATCGTAAATTAACTTATTGGCGACTAATAACATTTCTTTGTTTTTAAACAAGTTACCATTACAATTGTAACTTCTAGTGATACATAGAGTGTTGTAAAAAAGCCGCTTTAATTCTTCAATAAAATATATTTTATATGACACAAAAATGACCATATGGCTATTCAAATACCCAAATTCCGTCTATGTGAAACGTTATCCTACCTCCATTAGATCACCAAAAAAATGTTTTTCTAATTGTGTTGACTATTAACGCATTTGTTTTTCCTATTTTTGGATTTTTTAAAAATATCTAATAATAATGCTGCATATTTGTTCAATACTTCTACCGTATTTTTAAAATTTTTATAATTTTAACTATTTTTTCATCTATTTTATTTACAGTTCACAAAACTCTTATTGATTACTATTTACACATTTGGAGTGAAATAGTTTTTCCATGGCCAACTATTATCAAACAAAATATGTATTTCATTTTCTAAGTATAATTATAAAAAAATATTCTGTTACAAATATGTATTTTTTAGATCAGAAAAAAATAAGCTTTTCAAGATTGCCATAGCCGCCTATGATTCTCATTTAAAAAAATACAAGTTTATTTTATTACGGCTAAACCAATAACTCAAAAAAAAAGTTAACTACATTAATAAATTTCTTGTAAAAAAGTGCCTGTATAATGTCTTTATTTCAAATCCGTATCTTCTATAATAACGAAGATATGAATTTTTTTAGATTCCGCCAAAATGTCAACTTTTGTAAGTCGAAAACAAAAGACGATAGCGGGATGCGGTTTTAATTATTTTCTCAAAAAATGAGCCCCAGAATGTATCACTCGTTTTTAGCTAAACATATTAGTTTCGGAGATTCCCTATTCGGACATCCAAAATGCAGCACCCTGTACATAAAATAAGCTTATAGTAAGGAAAATACACAAATAACTTTGTTGCTTCAGTTATTTATCAGCAAACGCTGGAATCCAAACAAAAAGGGGTGGAGAGATTTGTATTAAGATTTTAGATGAGTAAAATAACTGTTGCTATTATCATGAATCAACATAAAGAATTTATCAATAAATTAAATCTCAATAATTAACACAGGAATACTTACTAAATCATTATTTGTTTTTAACTCATCTGTTAGAGACGTGGTAAATATATCTGATATTTGATTGATAGGCACAGACCCGTAAGTAAGACCAGGAAATTCTACTTGTACAGACAAATTCGAAAAATGTCTTATACAACTCAAAACTACCATTCCGTCTTGTACCCTCTAAAAAACTTAATTATATTTCATTGTTATCAAAATTATAACCTTACATCGTATGTAAGAGTCCCTTGGAATTTTATTGATGCTTGCCATAAACCTTCAGTATTTACATCTTTTTTTGGTACAACTTCTTTCCGGGCCCTTTTCACCTTTGGTTGCTTTGCAATCTGAAACAACTAACATTTAATTAACAACAGAAATTACAAATTTGTTAACAACTTACACTTTCCTCATGTTTTCGTTTAGTTTGTTCACTATTATTACGAATTTTTTTCCCTCCTCGAGGAAAATTTTCGCCTTCCATATTACTCAACACTCCTATACTAGATTCACTTTCTAAAAAAATTGTTTGTTTCTAAAGAAATTTTGTTAATTTACGTTTTAACTGACAATCATACAACATAAAACACACGTGTTGTGATCATAGGTTATGAATCTGATACACATAACCTCACTTTGTTCTGTCAGTTCTATTAAAAACTATTACTGTTTTTTTGTGTCAGAAGATTTGTAACGTCGTCTGCGTTGATTGACAGTAAATAAAGTCTGGGCAATAGGCCAAAATCGAGAACTTGTGAAAATCGTAAATTCCGGTAGATGACGCGCGCGTTACCCTCCAAAGGAAACTGTAATTTGTGAAATTTGAAAATTTGCAGGAAATTAAATGTCACAATTGTTGACACGTTTAATTAAATATTGATCTGTCACACAACTAATACATTTAATACAGCTTAAGAAGCGCAGTATCAATATCTTTCAGACGTTACATTATAATTTTTAAAATGCCAAGTTTCCGAACTTGCTGTGTTCCAAACTGTGGGCAAGCGGAGAAAGAGGGTGTTATTTTACATCAATTTCCAAAAAGTAGAAATCAAAAAAACGAATGGCTTAAGAGAATACTTGGTACCATCGGCAATGTACCCCCAAATTCCCTGATTTGTGGAAAACACTTTGAAATAACAAGCTATTATAAAAACAAAAAAATGTTACCAAATGCAGTTTCATCCTTGCTCTTGAATTATAAAAGAATTACTCGTTTTCAGGTAATTTACACCACTTCCATTAATTCAGAACGTAAGCCGTTAGAAACGCCTGCACCGTGTCTCCAATCTCCAGAGTCATTTGACCAAAATTATACYATTTCAAATCCATTTCGATTTGATTTTGATCAACAAAGCGATTTAAAAGTAGGTGATACTCATGATTTTGATTTAAAAAATGTTTCAGATGCAATAAGTTCGGCAGAAAAATTTGTCTTACTAGCTAAAATTCAAAATTTAGAAAAAAAGTTACAGGAAGTAAATGTAAGATTTCAAAAGTTGAATAAGCTGTATGAAAATAAACTTGAAAAACTAAAGGAAATGCAGGAAAAAATTGACAATTACAGTAAAGGTCAACATTGTGTAGTGAAAATTGAGTCAGATGCAAATGACTTAGAACCAAGGGCTGTGTTTTTACTTGATCAAATTTATAATTATTCCCTAAAAAAGCCAAGATGGTTTGAAGTTACAGTACGTCATTGTACTGCCTGGAGGTACATTTCTTCAAAAGGTTATGAATTTGCAAGTCATTTTTTAAAAGCTCCATCCAGAAGAACTTTAGACAGATATATGGGAAATTCTCAAGGGGATCCAGGCTTGACTAATTTAATTAAAAACAGAATAACTGCTGAAGGCAATAATTTAAAAGACGTTGAGAAAATATATTCTCTTATTATAGATGACATGGCCATTAAAGAAAAAATGGAGTATAATCGAACAGAAAATACATTTTACGGCATTGCAAATACTGAGAACGAAATAATAGGAAAAAAGCCCATTTTAGCCAATAAACTGTTGTGCTTCGTTATTCATGGATTGTCTACCAAATCAGGGCCGTACCCAAGGGGGGGGTTTAGGGGGTTCATGAAATTTTGTTGCTGAAAGTGGCAAGAAACCACAGGCAAAATAGTTAGAATAAATTTTTACCCTAATCCCATCTAGTTTAGGAAGCACCTAATTAAAAATTTCAACATTTTATTTTTGTACTTATTTAGGTGTATAAAAGTTATCATCTGTAGCAAATTTTGAAATTTTTTTATAATATGATTTCGGAAATAATGAAAAAAAACCTATTAAAAGACGCACCCCTTGCATAGCATTTTTCGATATATGTTCATAGAAAATTTTTGTTTTAAAAATGAATATCCATCTCCTGTTTAAATTTGTAACAATAAAAAGTATTAAAAATTTATTTTATTTTTTGTTACTTTTGTGAGTTAATTTGTATTTTTTTATGTTTAATTAGGATCTCTTATTTCAATTTAAAATAAAAAAGTGTACTTAGAGATTTTTGCTTTTTAATCCGTCTTCTTTAATTTCATTTTCATGGACCAACAAGAAACCCCCCCGAAATAAAATCCTGGTTACGGCCCTGTACCAAATACACTATTCCCGTTGGATACTTTTTTCATAAAACACTTTCGACTGAACAGTTTTTAATATGACCATAAATATAATAAAACAGGTAAGTACATGAATGTGGCTTCAAAATCTTGAGATTGGTAAGTGACAATCATAAATCAAATGTTGCACATTTTAAAATGTTAGGACAAACAGAGCTGAAAACCAAGATCCAAATAGAAAAATAATAGAAAATATAATTAATCCTAGTGTTTTTTATTCAAAGTTTTGAAGAAATAATAAAAAGTTATTGTAATATGTTAATGCTCTTGTAAATTTGTAAAGAATAAAAATAACTATCTAACCCAAATGTAAATCTTTATTGTTTGAATAAATAAAATTATATTTGCGTATAAAATGTTTTAATTTTTGATGTTTTTGGTCTAGTTCTTAGAAAAAATTACAATTAACAAAAAATTATTATACAACCCATAAAACACAAAAGTAAATTTTTGTATACAAAAATTTATCAAGGTTTCAAACCAAAATATACAGATTTCATTAGACTGCAGACTCGTCGCTCCTCCAACGGCCATTTTTTGGCATTGCCCAGACCACAGATTAGTTGCTAGCTAATCTGTGCCCAGACTTTTATTACTGTCAATCAACGCAGACGACGATTTGTAGAATTTCCACAAAAAAGTAACTTACCGGAAAGCACTAAGAACACAGAATGTTAAAAACGTTGAAGTTCACGATATGGGTACCAAGTATTGTGAGGTAACAAGGTCGATAAATTTGGGAAAGTTAAATTACAAGATTTTCGTCTTTGTCCAGAACTAAGATCTCTCCTAACGTTAGCAATTTACTATCGTACAAACATTCGATCGGTAAATAGTTTATTTGCCATGTCTTCTTTTAAACCGAAAATTCCAGATGCTAGATACATGGGTCAGGGGCCGTGGTGTTTCAATGTTTGTGGACAATTTTATCATTACGTTGAACTGGTGCGGTGCAATCACAATGAAATCAAGATCCAAAATTGAGCAACTATTACTTTGTAGATGCCGAAGATGCCATCGAAAGACGCAGACCTTTTATTGGGATCGACTAGATCCTGAAATGATTGTTATATTGGGCAGAATTTACCAACTCTTCAGTGTTTAGCTTATTCTTCGGCTACTTATTGTGGGGTACAATCCGTCTGTTATCGATTGCCGTACCCTCAAAATATGATTGTAACATAAAGTTCGAGTGTTGCGGGTATTTACACTATTAAATATCTACACAAATACGTTGAAAAAGGTGCTGATTATATTAAGGTGCAAGCACAAAACTCAAAAGCTCAAAGTTAGCGAAGGTGCCGATATGACTTGTGGCAAATATGTATATTTTCCAGTTGATGGATTATTAGATACTCAGAAAACGGAATATCTTTGCTATGGGTGTGTTTCCTCCAAGTAGAAGTACACTCATGAGAGTGGACAGTGGCGTAGATGACCAAAACGTGTTTCGGACGAGTCCACTTTAAAAACTTTATCATTGGCATATTTGAGAAAAGACTAAAATAAAGGACACCATTTGAAAGCTGTTGTATTTATTTATAAAGCAATATTGATAGTGGAATTTATAATTTATATGCAATTTTTCCTTAAATGATACAGTAACTCATATTCGATTGGATTGGTACCAAAATATTTAGAGAATAAGACGATTACCCCCCACAGTGGTTCATCGGGCTTGCGGTAGAGATGCCATAAACAAATGTGCATTTCTTAGGACAGGCACGTTTCAAAGGTTTGTAAGAAGAGATGGTCCGTAACAGAAATTTGTTTTTGGGCTTTAATCAAAAAAAAAAAAAAATCTGGTGTGAACATCACACGACTTTCCTTATCCAAGTTATTTGGAAAACATCCTTACGGTGTTGGAAATCCGAGTAGCAAACCTAACGTTTGCGTTAGTGCCACCTGCCGGATTACACACGAAATAGATCATAGTTGCCGCGGGTTCGAGTCTGGGGTGCAATTTTTGTTAATTTGGTACCCATTATTATTTTTATTTTTTCACATTTTACTGTTTAATGAGGTATATTTCATGATTCTAAATAATTTTATCCCCATGAAATTATTTATAGTATCTTCAACCGTATAATTTTGATTTTTGGTCTTTGCGGCCGAACGGTGCGACCGATTTTTACCAATTGTTTCGTGCTACGTCCTCTTGCTACAAGTAACTTACGTACCAAATTTCAAGTTTCTAGCTCTTATCGTTCTCGAGATATGCTGTTTACAGACAGACACACACAGAGAGAGAGAGAGACACACGACCCAATGGTCCAAACCAACTTTTTTGGTGTCTTGAAACTACAATTCGTCCTTATAGGATAAGGAAAGTAAAAATTAATTAATTTTAATATTTAGCTATAGTTGGAGAATGTTTCTTGACAAATGAACTGATCTGCATTATCACTTTAATATTAAATTAATATATAAATTGCCAAATTTATGCCTGTAATAAATTAAAAGCCTACCACGAAAATTCCTGAATACGGCTCTTTTGTAAAACTTCAGGGTAGTAGAATACCACCAGCAGTGAAAAATTATTACGGCCGACCGCAAAGCTGTTTAACCCTTAATAAAGCTTTGCATACGTCAATTTTAAATATTCCTGGTTACGACTTTAGGTAATCTTAGTGCAATTGGTAGATCAGTTAAAATGAAAAACAGTTTTCGTGTTATTTCAGTCTTATTTAACGAACTTACAACATTATGTTACATTTTTATATTTTAAGAGAACAGATTTTTTTTATAAATGTGTTACGTGTAAAATTTAAATTTCGTTATGAAATTATCAAAGTGCATACTTCGTGGTCAACCGAAAAATTTTTCTTTGATTATGAAATACCTTGTAAATGGTCGACTAGTCGGGAATTTACTAGTTAGGCTGCTATATTAATTTTATACATAATAATATTATCAGTATATATCACATTGGGGAATTTACAGTAAATATCAGATATGTGACCAAAAGTACATA